TCTCTGCACTGAATCCCTACACTGTATGCGTGAATCGTCGTTGAGGTAGGGAGATGGTGTCCGGAATGAATTCATGCTTTTATTTGTGCTTGGGATGGACTCGCATTAATGTGTTCTTTGATGTCTCTGACGGTAATTACGCCTTGTCCTGTGCACATTAGTGTGAGTTTGACCATGGGCGTGCAGGCTGTGTGACCTGCTGGTCCTGAAGGATTTCATATGTTGGCCTGAATGTAGTCCGGGCCTCGGGCCACATTACTAGAATTGTTCTAGAACAATCCCACTTCGTATTTCAAGATTGCTAAGCTAAACTTGCCCAAGTAACCGAGATAACAATACTGATGCATTATAAATCTCTAAAATAGTCACAAAAAATACTGCAAAAAGAGCCATAACCCCCCCCATAAAAACAGTAGTACCCCAACCAGGAGCAACTTTGCCATATTCGGAATTTAAGGTTTTGCACTGTGATGTTCTGACATTTCTTGAGGGAAGACCCTTGATGACTAGAAAGCGATTGTTGCAAAGATTGCAGGGGTAGTGAATGAGGGCAAAGATTGCAGCAGGGGTAATGAATGGACCCTTGCGGCAAGTCTGGAGCAAGATCCTTTGCGATTTTGTAGCGGTGCAAAGATTGCAGTAGGGGTAATGGACGACTGACGTTTCACCTCTTTTTCTCTCGGTCTCTCCTTTCCGGATTTGAAGACTGGCCGATTGCTGTCAAACCACCAGCACTTGGCCCAGCTATCGGGCATGCAAAAAAAAAAGAGTAGAAACGTTTCCAGTAGGATGTGGTTTGATGGGGGGTTTCAGCGAAACATGGAATGAGAAAAACATTACAACGACTTACACCACGAGTACGTTTCCCGGGGTGCCATTTTGCAGAATTGCAATGGATGCAGGCGTACCGTGCGGGATGTGCCCCGGGGTGCCATCGTGCCCAAACTCTGTTCAGACAAATCGGGGCTCATGCTACCCGTTTTGCCTGGATGGATTTTGGGCGGAACGGCACCTCGGTACGTCCCACCTGGATTTCGGGCGAAACGGCACCTTGGTGGACCCTGCCCGACGAGCCTGCATGCATGGTGCGATTCTCGTAAATGACGGCTGGCAAACGGAGTCAAACGGACTGTGATGGTTTAATTATGGTTCACTTTGTTGACCCCCCCCTCCCCGCCAGTTTCTTCCTACTTTCGCACCCCAAAGCATTTTGGTGGTGACGTGGAAGGAGTTCCTCTTTGGTGGAAGGAAAGCCCTCCCCTCCTTGGGGTGAGAGCTCATTTGACAGTTTCCGTGCAACAACTGTACTCTGGAGACACTGTGGAAAAGGAGCTGCAAACTTGAACGCCCTCTGGAGGAAATGAACAGGATTTCCGATTATAATTGACTTGCAAAGTTCCGAAACGTTGTATGGATTCTGGAGGGAATTTGTAAAATTTATATTGTTTTTATTCATTAGTATTAATTAATTAACGAGGGAATTTCTGCAGTTTCTGCAGTGGGGATTTTAGATGGCCGTGTCATCCAGGCCTAGGCTGTGGTCAGGCACGGATTGCTTTTGTTACGTGTATGGAAGAGCTGGTATCGCGTCAGGTCGTGTTTTTGTTTTCCTGTGATGGAAATTGTTGGGGTCCTCTCTTTATGGGGGTGCCCCCCCGCTGAGGGCGGAAGCCAATGAAGAAGCACTGTCAGGTCCCGGTGAATTCTTCAAGAGATTCAATTTGGATCATAGCTGCCAATCATTGAGGGGAGGGTAAGACCACCTATTACCCTCTCCCCGAAGACGGGGACGCTGTTTTCATTTTTTCGAAATTTGAATATGAAAATAAATTCAAAATTGATATACTAGCTGGTGTTTGTGTTTTTACTGTTTGTTCGAGGTGTGGGAAGACCTTCACAAAGAGGGCACTGTTCCTTGAGCAAATTGAACACGTGTGGTCGATGCAATACACGACGTCTAGTGGGGCACAATATCTCGACCCTTGTATGGTATTGTCGTGGGTCTGGGTGCGATCACAAGTTTTGGAATATTCACGACCTGTCACTGTACACAGACCTTTCTTTTTTTTTTTTTTTTTTTTTCGAAGTGTGACGGAGATCTTTAGAGGGGTTGAAGTCACTTTTGCCAGCACATTTGTTTTAGTTGTGCTCCTCGAACCTTGAATGGTCAAACTTCACCAGCGAGGGGGAAAAAGGCCACACAATGCCAGTACATTACATTCTGTGAAGGGCCTGAGTTACCTTGCCATGGTGGCAGAATTTACTGCGACAAATCTCGGTTGCAGTTAAAATGCTAACCATGCAATGCGATGTCACGGCGGAAGTGTTCGGCGATGAAGCAACCGTCTTGCCCTCTACTGTTCTCACGGCGTAATGGACCGTAACTAGTGAGAAGGGGTGGGAGAGGGACGGGGTCTCATGGGAAGGAGAATGATGGTGCTGCAAAGGTATTAGCAAGAAGGGGTGGAGAGGGACGGGGTCTATTGGGAAGGA